GGTCTCAGTGATCACGCAGAGCAGATGAAGAACGTCCGTTCTTCGTCTGCTCTATGGTGATCTCGATCGCCGCCGCCGCTGCTCGGTTTAATACGAGTGATCTCATTAGATCACTCGTATTAAACGAGCAGTGGCTCCTGCTGTACATTTAGCTCTGCTTTAGCAGCGCTAAATGTACAAAGCACTACTCGCCTGAAACTGCATGTCTCGGGCGTCGGATTCGCTCCATAAGACGCAGGCTCATTTTCCCCCTCCTTTTGGGGGGAAAAAAGTGCGTCTTATGGACCGAAAAAAACGGTAAGTCACACATTACAGCAGTGACGTGCGGTACCTCCCACCCTGATGTGGGTGGGGCATTCACCCACATTGGCATTCACCCACACCCAGTCACCAAGCTAGTTTGAGGGAGCGAGGAGGAAGGGAGGAGACAGGGAGGAGCCCCCCCCTTGCTCGTCACTGCTAAGGCATCGAGATTGATGGCCTCAGTGTTTTTTCTTTTTTTGATTGGACAGCTTGGACCAGTGGCGCTTTTCCATTGGTCCAAACCATCCACAGAGCTCACGCCTCTAACACAGAGTAGAGGCTGTGACAGCTCTTGCCTCACTATGTTAGGTTACACAAGCAGTGGGGAAGCCCGCTGCTGGGTAACCTAACTACCTGTCAAAAGCTGGATGCAGAGCCGCCTGTAATTAACAGGCAGCGCTCCGTCCATGACAGGTTACACAGCGGGGAGGCTTTCCCTGCTGTGTACCCTGTTACAAGCCAATCTGAATGGAGAAAAAGCTGTCAGCTTCAGGGCCCTCCTTACCATCTTGTCTTGACTTGTATTTTAACTGTAATGTCCCCCTTATATTGTAAAGCTCTGCACAAACTATTGGTGTTATAGAAATCCATAGTAATAATAATAATTACTGTAGTTGCTCCATGTGAAACTACCTCCAAACACAGGCAGACAGCTATGTGCACTATCAGCCTGTCATTGCTTTGTACAGGCTGAGCGACTGCCGCTAAGAATGCACAGAGCTCTTCAGCAGGTAACTTGGGAAAAGGGTCCATTTTCTCTTAAACATCCCATAGGCAATGGGCTTTTGTTTGCTTCAAGTGGATTTTGCATTCCCATATGAGTCTGTCGGAATGCAAACCTGCTTAAAGCAAGTCAATTGCAGGCCAATACACTGGTGTTAATATATACTGAATGATTTCAGAAGCATCTCAAACGAATGTCAATCTGATGCCGTTGACAAGCCAAAAAGTCCACCAACACAGGCCCTTGCATACAAATATCGTATTACCCTTTACAGATTATTTTACGGAAATCTGTATTGAGAAATATATAGACTACCACTGCCTGGCTCTTATATTGATTCAATACGTTTTAAGTCTCTCCCCCGGAACAAGTTTGCAGATCAGGGATTTTGATTTTCCTCTAACATTACTGGCTGAATGCTTTTCCTGGCTTAGTGGCTCTGAAAGTGTTTGGAGCATAGTCAGCCAGATATTTCAGAAGGAAGTCAGCAATTGCTGTGTAATTGCTTCTCTTAGCACAAGTTTCCCACAACAAATGGTAGAAAATTATTATTATTATTATTATTATTATTATTATTATATCCAGCTATGTTATGCAATAACAAAATGTAAAACTTATTAATTAAACTGTGTGTTTTACTTCCCTACAGAAGCTATAGGTACTGTATATTTGCATATGTATAGAATGAGTAGCTCTGACTGGCATGTCCCCAGACAGGCTATGCTTTTGGTGATTGGAAGGCTTCAGCAATCACACACCCAGCATTGAGCAACCCCAAAATGTTTGTACAGCAGTAAAAAAAAAAAAAAAGAGGAAAAAACCTCACCCAGGTGTTTTGCATACTACAGGCAATATAAGACCGCACAACAATTTGGCATATAAGTACTTCTAAGGCCGAGTAACACAGGAAGATAAAAACACCAAGATGTCAAGTAAGTGTGTGTATATGAGTGCTGGTGTGTGTCTGGTAGCCTACTGTATGATGCATGAATGAAGAAGCGATTGAATGAGCGATGTACAGTATGTGTTAAACAATTGAAGCATTTTAAATGTTCTAGCAATAGAAATGTAAAATGGCCAAAAATATAATTTGTAACAAATGATCTAGTTCAATATTATAAAGCCATAATAATTAAAAATACTAGCAATATTACAATCCTCTGCTAAATTTTGTAAAACCATTACCAGTTAGAGGAACTTTACCCATATCTACAAAATAACAAGAAATACACCTTTAGAAATATTTAGTAATGACAATCTACAAACAGATACTTCTAGATAAGTGCCGGCTTTGTATTCCTTGCATACCTTGTTTTTCTTTCTTATTCACTCCATTCTCCTCACAGTGGTAATTTTTACTAAGGGCAGAGCAATCCATCTCCCTTAACTTTCTAGAACTCTGGCACATGTGACCATGCACATCATCTCAATGGAGGAGAATGCCTTTCCCTGAGATTTAATTAGATTTCCCAGCAATGCTCTGCTGATGTAATCTTCTCAGGATGCGCCACTTGGGTACATTACATCACATTTGCCAAAGAGAACCAGAAAGTAGAAAACAAGAAATTGTAAGTAAAATGAAAATGTCTGTTTAAATAATGAATGTAAGATGGTTTGATATCAGAATGCAGAGCTGCATGCTGATGTGATTTTTAGCCAAAGGGGGTGAAGTTCTACTTTAAAGGACTTAAGATGGCCATACACTAGTATATTTTGAACAAAAGATCTTTCATTAAAAACTAATGATTTTTCTTTACCACCCAATAATGCCATCAGAGTCTTGACGAACGTTGAACTAAATTTTGTTCTACTCTAACATTTGATTTTGGAATGAATGAAGTTTCCTGAATGAAGACCACATTCACTGTTAGAATTTTGTTCATTCTAGAACAATTTTACATCTTGCTCCTTCAACCTTTTTCGTCACTATGGTCAAAATCGATGATCGCTTTAACCCCATTAGCTAATAGAAAGTCGAACGAAAGATCTTTCATATGAAAATCGTCTAGTGTATGGTCACCTTAAGACAAATAGTTATGTTGAGGTTTAGCCCTGAGGTTTGTTGTGATGGCAAGATGTAATTGTCACATAAAGGTTTGAGGAGATGAGGAAGATCAGTTAATGGCATCCTGTCTATGGGATACAAAAGAGCAGCAACAAGGTAATTGACAGGATCCTGTACTCATTCCAGACCATGACTCTAGAGTGCTTTATTATAATATATATGTATAATACTGCATCTATGAATGCCTCATCACTAAATGAGCCATTCATGCTTTCCACTTTGTTTTATGGTCTGGTGCATGGTATGGTAGTATATGTTGTGCATCCTTGGGCACTACGAACCTTGGCAGATACTCCTGGCAGACCTCTATTGTAAGTAAAAAAGCTATTGGATGGTTTGGATTTTTCAGCCAATAGCGTGTTGTGGTATATAAAATAAAATTGAAGGTGTGTACTGTAAGCCTAGAAATGCACTGTGTTAAAGTGGACCTTCACCCCCTTTTACTAAAAATTTACTAAAAATTGCAGCAGCATGCAACTCTTCATGCTGATTTAAAATCATCTTACATTCATCAGTTAAACAAACTTGTTTTATATTTACTTACAAATGGTTTATTCACTTCCTGGTCTAGTTATGGCACAAATGATGTAAGTGCCAAACCGTTGCATCTTGGAAAGGTTACATCAGCAGAGCATTGCTGGGAAATCTCATGAGATCTCAGGGAAATGCATTTTACCTTCACCAAGTGGTGAAGAGAAAGAGGGCATCTCCCTGAAATGAGAAGGGCACCTCCCTGAAATCACTTTTTTCAGTTTTAGATCCCTGAAATAGTGTTTATTTATGTACTGTCATTTCACTATTTCAGGGATCTCAACCTGAAAAAAAAGTGATTTCAGGGAGGTGCCCTTCTCATTTCACGGAGATGCCCTCTTCTCCTGAAAGGAGAAGCCTCCTGAAATGATTGCACATAGTAAAGAAGCTACTGCTTCCCTTGCTATCTACAGTTTTTTTTTTTAGAATTCTAACAGCTGCTGCCATCTGAATGGAAAAAAAAAAAGCATAGAAATGAATAGCTAGATTGCTATTGGCTATTTCAATTTGCAATAGCCAATAGCAACTTGGCTATTGCACCCGCCCTCTGCTGCTGTCAATTAGCAGAAGAGGACCTGATGGAGAACTTCAGGCCCACCTCTGTTGATTGACAGCAGCAGTGGGCAGGTGCAATAGCTAGTCTGCTTTTGGCTATTGCAAACTGAAATAGCCAATAGCAATCCAGGTATTAGTTCCTATGCTGTGTTGTTTTTGGTTTTTTTCTCTGACTGATGGCGGCAGGCAGCCTCGATGTCAGAAAAAAAAACAGCACGGAAAGGTTTACTAGATAAAGCAGAGTAAACCTTTCCGGGAGAAAATGTTTCTCTCCCGGGTGGCCGGGAGCCGCTATCTAATAGCAGGAGACTCCCGGAGCGTCCTGGAGAGTTGGGATGTCTATTAGAGTGGGGAAGACTTGGAGCATCTGTCATTTGCTGTTGTGCTGTAAGTCTCCCATTTGGGGAGGTCCCCTCACTCCCTTTGTAGTCACAGACGTAAAGACAGCACTAAAACGTTTTTCCAATTCTATATAAGAGGAAATTCTGTTCTTTTGAGTTGGGCTTTTATATGAAATTAATTTATACATAAAAAAAACTAATGATCCTGCTGTAATTAGAAAGTACTGCTCCCCTTACATTGTGGAAACTAGGCCAAAGAGTTCATAAAGGCCACACCTTGCTTTATTGAAGGTGCCAGATACAGTAAAATATTTCCCAACCTATCCAAAAATTTTAATTAAAAATATGCAAATTTCTATAATTTCGTATAATGCTCTGTCAGCAAACACCATGCAATTCTTAATACAGACCAGCAGCAACATTGTAAAAATGATTTTTTTTTCTCTATTCAGGTTGTAACTTAAATTACTCTTTGTTTCAGGTCTACAGCTGACCAAAACTGACCTTCAGAGAAGCAAAAATGTCAAAGCTCACAGGACTGTAAACTACATCACCACTGAGTTGGTGCTCAGAAGGGGCCAGCAATGTGACATAGCTCTTACTTTCAGCAGACCAGTACAGTCTGCAGATGTCCTAAAAATTATTGTTGAAACAGGTAATGTGATTTTCTTTATTGATTGATCCTTCTAGTAGCATCTAGGATGCAGTTACAGCATGTGTACGCAATGATCTGATTCTGGAGAAGAGAAATATGGGGACATATTATCCCCGTGACAAAGATTGTGTATGTAGGTGAGGAGCGCTGTGCATGAAAAGAACGTGTTGGAAATGCCAGTCGTTTGAAGAATAATGATCACTTTATTGATATGACATAAAACATAGGAAAATGTTTTTGGGGAAATTGGGGCTCCCCCTTCTTCAGGACTTTGGTAGTGTCTGTTGCACCTGCAGACGCTAATGGCGGTATAGTAGACACTTTGGAACACTGTAAGGGCACAGACTGCAGTGCTGAGGATTACCAAAGCCCTGAAATAGAGGGAGTCCCAATCCCCCAAAACAGGTTGGCTATGTTTTATGTCGTGCACCTATAACATAATCATTGTTTTCTAACTGGCTGGAATTTCCAAGACTTTTTGTTCACTCACGGGACTCCTCTGAGCTGCCTTGTTGTTAGACCTTCCAGCATCTCTCCCCTCCACTGCAGTGATCTAAGGTCCCTGAGTCATCATATTCTATACACTGTATATAGGACATGAGGACTCCATGGGACATACCATCACTGCAGTGTAGGAAGAGAGGCTGGTGGGAGGACTGTGACAGCCGTCCAGCTTGGAGGATCGGGTGAGTATAACGTTTTTCATTTAGTCCCTAGACTAAAAGGAGCAGGTAACCCTTGCAGTGCGGGAGTAGCCCCACTGCAAGGGTTAATAACATTTTTCCTGGAGTTCTTGAAATTGGAAGGTGATACTGGTACTCTTGCTATCTCATCTATCAATGCCTGTGCATAGAGGGTATTGCAAGATCTTTATTATTCCTGCTCTTGTTATAATTCTCTAGCAATCCCTAGATACCAGCTCTGAAAACTCTGTGTAAAAAAAAAAAATAGCCTTACCATTACTGCAATATCTGTGTACAGAAAGTCTGCCCAACTAAAATGACATCAACTGGTGATTTTACACATAGGATATACACCCTAAAAAACTTTAGCAGGTTTTAGCAGGTTTTTATCCCTGTTGCCACTCCCACAGCTGCTATCACCGGCAATTGCCAGCTGCCAAAATGACAGCCAGCAACTGCTATGTATTACATTACTAGAACAGCTGGCCTAAATGCAGCCATTTCTGTGGAAAATGACACTTGTAGATAGTCTGCAAGTGTCATTAAGTAAGACAGTGTAACAATGGATTGTTACATTGTATTTACTATTTTGTAGATATGGTCATTATTTATTCACAGTGAGATATCACTTCTCTTTCATTAAGAAGAAACGGTCCTCCTAACCGGCTGCTGCATTTGAAGGGTTCTGTAGTAATTGAGGCTGAAGGCGTTTCAGTGTTTGGCTTCCCGCTTACACTCCCTAGAAGTGTAGAAATACAGCCTAGAAGTATGCACCTTTTACCCTCGGAAATGCACACAATATGCTCAAGGCTGGAGGACTGACTGGCCTTTACGGGCAGCACTAGGGAAGAGTTGATGTCATCAATATATTGGTAATGCAATATATTGAAAAGCACACATATAATTGTCTTACAATTGATGTTAACTTAAAGTATATGGAAACTATCAAACACCATTTTCTAAAGGTTTCCTGAACACACCACCCCCCCCCCCCCCCGTGCTGATCTAATTCAACATATATATGTGTACCTCTCCACCACTGTATACTCACAGTACTGGCACCAAGTCACGCCGTTGTGCCACAATGTTTATCTGTTGTCAGTGTGTCTTCTACCTACCGCTGCTCATACATGTGCAGTAGGACCCCATAGACTTTTTTCGGGCCAGGAAACTGATCTGACTCACTACCCATATAAATCTATGAAGTTCTACTTCACATGTGCTGGGAGCAGGACCCAGACCTGGCATTTATTGAAAGTGCTGCTGATCTCCTCTAACATCAAGATACCAGAGCACCCCAGCAAAGGCTTTCAGCACAGGACGTCTCTCATCACAGATAACGTATTGAAGCTTTTTTCAGTAGATCATGTGGTATCTAGGAGCCACAAATAAGTTATCAGTGATGAAAGATTTCCTTGCCAGTATGTTCAAAAATCGTAGGATATGGGAAATCAGCATCACGTTCACTAAAGCCATGTCCACTCTGGTGTAGTCTTTGGTATAAGCCAAAATGGCACCAATACCTGGCACATGCACAGTAGTGTTAGGTAGGTAATAAACTTGTGCTGCTACAATGCATACACAGTAGCAACAACAGTACAATGTAGACCAACTCTAGCCACACCATACCCAATGGGAGCACATCCACAGTGATTAGTGAGCAGGTGAGTCTGTGTTGCAATGGTACAACACCTTCTAATTTCTGGCCCCGTCAGCTCATACCACCTTCCTATCCCTGGCTTCTGCTGGAGCTTACACTGTAATCTCCAGTGCCTGTGTAAGCTCCTGACCTTTGCTGCTGGCCTCTGCTGCTGGCCAGCAATACTGCCTCTGGAGTTTCAGCTAATAGCTTCTCATGGAGGCAACACTCATCTAAAATCACCCTCTCATCACCACTGCGCCAGCATCCCCCATTTTCCATTACCACTGTGCCTGCAGTCCCCTGCTTACCACCATGCCTAAAACCTCCCAACCACTGCTCCTTCAGAATAACCCCTCCTCACACTCCCTCCACCGCAGCTGAACCCCCATCCTCCTCCTCCCATACCACACCTTCACACCAACCCCTACTTTACACATAACCTAACTTCACTCGTCACTGCACCAGTGCATGCTTCAGCACTTTCTTCCACTGTGCCAATGTGCACTTCAGTGATCTTCACCACGGCAATGATGCACTCTTTCATATTTAGCCCATTCAATGAAAAGACACACATTTGTTAGTCAATATCACAACATAAAGACCAAATGACAATACAATTATGATCCCACAAACCTTCATGGCATATGTTATTTTCATTAATCCTAGTTTAGGAAAACTGTGGCCGTCTATTACATTATTTGGCATATGTTCAGATTCTCAACCAATTGGGAGTCTGTGATGCACAATACGATTGTTTTTCCATCAACCAGATTATTGGATGTGGTGTAGAAACAGGGTTGCAGAATTGACAACCATGGCTGGCGGCTGGGGCCCTGTTTTAAGGTGCAATGATTTATTTGCAGTGTATACGAAACAGATTGATGCTGATCAAAATATATAGGCTATCAATAGCTGGTGCAGTAATTCTACCCTATTTGTTTCATCTGTTTGAGAAAGAGATTAGTGATGTCATATGACCAAATGTAGTGGATGCATTTGAGTGTCAACCCGATAGGGGTCACCAGCTCTCCCTTTTGTAGTGGATGTGAGCAGCAGGTAGCGACTAGGGAGGTTCTCACTCTTTTCTGCCGTATGCAAAAACACAAGACTCTCAAGCTTGAAGCAGAACAGGAATGTTTTTTTTTTCCTATTAACCCTTGCAGTGGGGTTACCCCTGTACTGCAAGGGTTAACTTGTTTAGGTTAGGAAAAACCCAAATATATATACCCAAATATATATTCACTCAAAGCTCTGAGCCGGCCAACTGTTATGGCACTCCCTCCTGCCTGTCCCCTCCTCTGCAGCACATTGTAATGTTTCTCAGCATCCTCACTTATATGCACAGTGTCAGTGCATACAGGTTAATGAATTACTGGACCTTAGACTGCTGCAGAGGAGGGGGAGACATTTTCTGTGTTTTTCTTTACCTTGACATAAATGGGCGGTTAACCCTTGCGATGCGAGGGTGACCCCACTGCAAAGGTTAATTTTAAAAAATTAAAAAATCCTGGAGTTCTTCTTTTCAAAGTCAGGCTAAGTCAGTAACGCCAAACAAAGGAAAAATAAATCCTTCAAAAGTAAGACTATTGAGTTATATTTAAAGCATGAATATTTAGATGTCTGAAAATGACATGCTATCGCAGATTCGACACCGGTCTTTCGAGAATCATCTCACCTAGTCTAAGATTTGTCAAATTTCATAATCCATTGACATTAAAGAAGATGATTGGGCCAAATATGTCTTAATGGAGCTATTTCCCCACCACTATCAATCATACTAAACTTTCAGGGCGAGTTTAAATCTGACTTTAGGGGGAGTAATTCCAGTTGTTTGGAAGAACATATGGACACATTAGATGTACCTGATGCACTTGTGTTTGAGGAGTGAGCACCCAATAATGGTTGTGTAGTCAGATGCATATCACTAGTTGGGGTCCTACAGCATTTGGGGACATATTTGGACACTTTAGAGTGTAGTCACAAAAATAGCTAATTTCCCTCAATAGACTGGAATACAATTTGCACAAAAGAAAATGATTTAAGAGAAAACATTTGATAGCAGTTTGATGGGACGGAGTACACTACTTAGCTAAATATGCAAAAGAGGTAGTAGCATTCTGTAAAATTACATGTTGAAATTTTCAGTAGAAGCAAAAATGTGACCAGTCACTGAATGGAATGAACATGGAAGTGCATGCTTGTGTAGGGGCAGTGCACATCAGTGTAGTGGCAGAGAATGGGGTTGTGTGCATCGGTGCAGTAATGCCAAGTGCAGAATTGCTCAGTGTTAATGGTGGACGGCGGAGTACTAAATGCTGGTGCAGTGATGGCAAGTGTAAAAGTGCATGTTAGTGTAGTAGTGTAGTGATAGTGGCGTAACGATCGTTGGTATAGTGGGCATGTGGGAGCAACAATAGAGTAGGGTAGTGCATATTTGTGCACTGGTGGCAAATGGAGCAGCAGAAATGGGTGCAGCGGCAGCAAGTGGAGTAGCGCATGTGGAGGCAATTGGAGAAGAGCATGTCAGAAGAGTGGCTGAGAATGAACTGTGGATCACTGCAGTTGCAGTAAGTAGGGTACTACATGCTGGTGCAGTAGTAGTGAATCTAAAAAGTGTGCATCAGGGCACTAGTGCTGCATGGGATCAAAGTACCAGCCCCCGGGCCATTTGCGGCCTGCAAACCAGTTACTTTTGGCCCGCAGGCAGGGCCGCTGATTAGAGCCCTCTTTACCGCAGGGCAAAAGGAACAACTACTCTGGGTCCCATAATTTACAGGGGCCCACAGCAGCTGTCCCTGGAGCGTGGGCAGAAAATTAGCAGCATGGCCAGTGGGGAGATCATCTCCAAGGACGGACTGACCATTCAGGCACTCGAGCACTGCTTCCCTAGGGTTGTCAGCTGTCTGGGATTCACCCAGACAGTGTGGGTTTTCAGTCCTGTATGTGCTTTGTCTGTGTTTCAGGCCATCTGAAACACTGACACAAGATGTCAGTTGGACAGGGACAACCACGGGGTCCTGATGTTCCAACTTAAGTGCATGGAGGAGGCACAGGACGCAGAGGGATGTTGGAACTGAGGGAGCAAGGAGGTGTCTGAAACACAGGGTGCAGATAAGTCTTGAAGGGCACATTCTCCTGGCTGTCTCTCCTCTCTCCCCTGGCCATCTCTCCTCACTCATCATTGTTTGTCCCTCCCCCTCTCTCTCTCCCCATCCTGGTTGTCTCAGTCTTGGAATTTTGCAAGCAGCCCCCATGGAAGAAGAAAACGTGCCCAGTGGCCCCCAGGTCATTTGAGTTTGAGACACCTGTTTTAGACAGATACGGTTTTCTGCTAGTTATCTACTATTACATTACCCATGCTATGCCAGTATTTACCTTTATGCGCATAACATTGCATACATCACTTACAGTAGACGCGTAGAGTCATTTTTAATAAACCTAAAGAAAGGAAAGCAAGGCAATCCCTATATTAACTAGCCAGATGTTTACATCAACTAGATGTGTGTTGGCTGCCATAAACATTACTGATATTTTCTTTCCCTTCAATTTTTATAAAAATATAAATTACACAACCACCCGAATCAAACCAAAACAACTTGACTTATTAGATTGTTAGATTGCATAACAGGTAACTGATTTCAGTGGATGTGTGTGTTAGATGATAGTACTGAAAGTATGGTTTCCTTACAAATTAATTATAACTTATATTTGTCAGGTCCCTCTCCATCAGTGCAGAAAAACACAAGGGCAGAAATGGCAGTGTCCAGCTCTGCGAGTGGGAGATCCTGGAGTGCGGTACGTGGACCAAGCAGTACCAACACCTTGAGCATTGTCATCAATATTCCAGTCACTGCAGTTATTGGCAGATATAAAATGAGTCTACAGATTACGAGTGGAGGAAGACCAAATGTCACCAGCCTGGGAGGCTTTATTTTGCTGTTTAACCCATGGGCATCAGGTATGTTATCTTTATTGCTGTAAATGCGTGTTTTACTTGTTGCAAAGTATAATCATCAGCAATTGAATAAACACTCCCTAGGCATCGCTACACACACACACAGTCACACATACACACACACACACAGAAATCCTAATTACTTTTTGGTGGCATCTCTTGCACTTCTGCCTCAGTGACAATGGTCACCAAGACAAGTAAAGAGGGTGACTCTCTGCAGCAAGTCTTGGTTTTTCATTATACTTTAAATGTGAACTCTGACCATGGAAAGAAACCTCCTATTAGTTTCCACTCTATTCCCTCACTGGAATTTTAGAATTTAAATAGTTTTTCAAAATCTCTAAAACCTACAAGTAATTACCTTAGTCTGTGGTCCATGACAGCCAGTGTGCTCTAAACGGCAGCACTTCAATGAGTACTATTGGCAGTGCCAGTGTTCCATGCTGAGTCCTATTTGATTGGCAAGCAATCACTCAGTGAGACTTACACCAAGAGGATGACATTTTGCTTGACAAGTCACCATAACCAGTCGCCATGAAGCTATACTCTTCACCCTAGGAGTGGGTAGATGGGTAACCATTGAAGTTTTTTTTTTCTGGCCAGAACTCGCCTTTTAGGAACAACCTAGCATTTTCAGAATTAAAGGTTAGCGACAGCAGCCCCGACGTTTTTCTTATAACAGGTTGCCTTTAAATGGATAAATGGCACTATTGTAAAAAACTTTTTTTTTTTTACATGCACCACACCCTGCTTCACCTATTCTAGCTTAATGGATAGATACTTGAAGGCTACTCTCTCTCCTCAGGTGATGAAGTGTATATGAGAACCGAAGAAGAGAGAACAGAGTACGTTCTAAATCAAACTGGACTCTACTGGTTTGGAAATGTGGGCAGTTATGGATCTAGAAGATGGGATTACGGACAGGTAAATTTAATTCCTAAATATTGAGCAGTTTTCATAGGATGTGGCTCGGCATTAGTGTGAATAGGTTGTTTTCATATACTGCATTGACAAGCCAACAAGCATAAAATGGCTGTATGCAGTCTGGAATAAATAGCACGCATCATAACGATGGGGGATTGGGGAGAATCCTCCCACTGGGGTCACTGAATATTTACTCTATCCAAACAAAAAATAGGCTAGACTTAAGTTTTTGAAGTTTGTGTCGAGCCAAAACGATTTTCTTAATTTTGGATGGAACCATTGATGGGGAAACAAGGGAAAATCTGCACCAGGGACACAAAAATCTAACAGAAGCACTAGTCTTCCCCTACTCTAATTGATGTTTAAGTTGCTATTGGAGAGTTCCCCTTACTTCCTGTTCAGTATAAAAAGTCAGCAGGACAGAAAGCAAATGTAAATCTCTAACATAGGCCTAGACAGGAATAAAATCCCAACAGAGGTTATAACCCTTCCCCACTAACTAATTATAAAAAAATAATTTTTTTGGCTCCAGAGACTTTAATGTTAAAATAAGTATGTCAAGTACTTGACAGGTCATGTCATGTGACCAGAATCTTATCCTATCCCACAGAAATCTTTGCAGTGTTATGCAAAGAAGAATCCAAAAGGACACTGCAGGCACCACAACACACTCTCTGTAGAGCTCTAAATCATATTTTAAAGACATCATTCCATGGGGCTCAGAAGGGATGGCCATTATGTATTTACTTTATAAGACCGTAAAATTGTATGACCTTTAGTATGTCCATCCTTTCTGGCTCACTCATTTCTATATGTCCATGGCTAGGTGCTTTAAAACAGCTGGTCGTAGTAGTAGTAGTAATACTGTTTCTTTACTTCAAATATTTAAAATTGAAAGTAGATCTAAACCAAATCACTGAAATATCATAGAAGCTTGTAACTCCATGGTTGCCTGGCATCGTGACATCTTGTGTCCGGATTTCAGCTGGCCTGAAACCCAGACACAGCACATACAGGAATAAAGAGGTATGTGTTCCTACCTGGAGATCCGACTTTTTACTACATCACCCTTGATTAAATCAAAGATAGATTTGCTTGTTTAAACCGATCCGTAACCGGGGCAAAGCATATGCAAAAAGATTAACCCGCTAAAAGGTAGCTGGTTGAAAGGTGGTTAACTGAGGATTCGGTCAAGCAAGTGATTGCAAAAATAGAATATAACTTTATTACGACAAATTAAATGGGACAAAACCAATTGACCACAATTATTATTAAAACCATAGAAGCATGACAATCAATAGTTAATATAGACAGTGGTACCATGGATAAATACTCTCTTGTATATTACACTTCATATCCCGACCATGGGGAGGGAGACAGGTGTATCGAATTTCTTAACACCCGTCTAACCCTCACCAAAGGGCTCTCTAAATTGAACCTGTGTGCGATTATAAGGTAGACATAGGAATAGATCCGAATAAGCGATCGATGGGAAATTCCCTCTGATATAACTGAGGATGGAATTTAAAAGATTCTGATGAAAGTCTCCTTTACTTTTAGCTGTAGATTAGATAATTATTCAAATGATTGCAATCATTATATGGATTTCATCTCCCTTTTCAGATACACTTCAAATGTTGATTTCGGTCGTCTGTACTGTTAACTCTCATTCAGCTGACCCTATCAGGGTCTAATTTACATCCAGGATGATTTGCAGCTGTAGGCTTTATTGAACATAGAAAAAATGAGAAATAAAACAACGAAACAGAATGATATTGTTTCTGATTGAGTGATTTAGTTGTTAACTTATGATTTTAGTATATTCCTCCTTTTTCTCCCTTCAGTTTTAGTTGATTTGCTGTTCTTAAAGTAGCTTTTATTACTTAAATTCCCTTGTTTTCCTGTTCATCGTTAAAGCATGGGTTTAGCCGTGTGAGCAATTAACTCCTTCCAGGTTGGCTACAATGTGCCGTAATTGTTGAGTCTGGAGTATACTAATGCATAGTTCATTTCATTTGCTACGGTTTTAGTTCGTATAAATTGCTCCTTTTTGGTCGGCTACAATGTGCCGTAGTGATTGTGACTGGAGTGTAATGGTACAGAGTTCATCTCATTTGTCACTTAGTTTTGAATAAACTGCCACACAGGTCCCTTTGGATTATCTGACGGTCTGACCTTTTTCCCGTTATATTTCTCAGACGGGGGTGTAAGGAGTGATATTTTAATAGTAATCTTGACGATATGTATAATCACTCACGTTACTGAAGGTCCGTGTGGTCAGGGTGTTTCAGAAACTTTGTCGATGTAGTCCAGTAATTCAAAGGAAGAAAAAACCCAAGTCCTGTTGCTTTCCTCAATGGAAAGGGATTGCAGCTTCATCAAAAATGACGAATTGGGGTAATGGACTTTTCAAAGCTTCTAAAGTATCCGATGTAGGACCTGTACGTCAGTAAAAAGAGAGGCTTTTTTCGGGATTTTCATAGATCATGAGTAATCCAGGTTAACTGCCTGCTCGTTGCATTCTGTCTGTCTGTCTGTTTTTTCTTCCTTTGAATTACTGGACTACATCGACAAAGTTTCTGAAACACCCTGACCACACGGACCTTCACTAACGTGAGTGATTATAAATTTTATACATATCGTCAAGATTACTATTAAAATATCACTCCTTACACCCCCGTCTAAGAAATATAACGGGAAAAAGTTCAGACCGTCAGAAAATCCAAAGGGACCTGTGTGGCAGTTTATTCAAAACTAAGGTGTACGTTTAATAAACTGTGATAAAACTAGCTTTATCACGAGTTAACTTTACTCAGCAGATCTCTTTGTTTTTCTCGGCTGCACAGAGGCTGTTTAATAACCTGCGAAAAGAAAACTTATCTCACGTAACAGCTGTGAAAGGCTGAAATAAGTTATCTCAGTGATCAGTTGAGAAAGCAATGTGGGGAATGTATTCTGAGCTGCACAATGACATCCTTTGTGATAATCTGCAATCCTCCTGACAGGATCGTAGTTTAATCTGCCAAACCACCCATTAACAATATTACAAAGCACCGCTATAGCAAAGTGCAACAGTTATTTCACCGTTAAAATTAAGAAAATTGCTAAAAAACAGGATTTACATGTTCTGATTTGTTCAGCATGTACCAGTACAAAACCATGAATTAAACTACCAGAGGCAGCCACAATGCGAGGCAGTGATGGGGTTAAACATTCTAAAGGGGCACTCTGATGGAGCCTAGCAATGTAAGTGGGCACTCTGACACATGCTGGAAATTA